GGATGGAAAGGCGGCGGACGCAGAGCCCTTGGTCTTCTGGGCACCTTGGTCCCCCCTGCGCTGGGCCGGAGCCGGCGGGGCTGGGAGCCGGGAGCGAGGCGGGCTGCGGCGCGGCGGGGTTTACGTGCGGGGCTGGGTCTCTGTGCTCGTATGAACAGTACTTCGGCGCCGGCACCAGGCTCACCGTCGTAGGTAAGAATCGGACTTCTCTCCGCCCTCCCGCCCCAGCCCCTGGGGGCTCTGGAGAAGGGTGGCGGCCGGAGCTGGGGCGCCGCGAGTTGTCCGTGGGTAGGGTTGGCTCAGTGAAGGGGGGATGGGAATGGGGGTCTCCAGGTCCGAGAACATGGACAGAGTGGAAAGGGGGCTTTGGGTCTGTTTTTCTGGGGTACTTAGGGGCAGGGTGGGCGGTGGAGAAGAGGATTCTTTGAGCTCTGAGAGCTGCTAGATGGCAGAAAAAGACTAAGACTAGAAAACCTGGGCTGGGGAAAGGGCGGGAGGGGTATCTGCTCCACCTCCACCGGGGAGAGAGCTGGAGGGGCAGGAGAAAGTGGGATGAGCGCGGATGGCCGGTCCCCTGCAGACCTGGCTCCTGGGAGGTGGAGATGGAGGTGCCCGGGACAGAGGAGGGGAAAGGATGACAAACAGTGGAAGAGAAAGGCCAAGATGATAGAGACAGAGAAACATGAGTCAGTGAGGAAAAGAGCTAAAACAAGCCGGGTTTGCTGATTGGATTTAGAAGTGTGGACTTGAGATTAAATTGAAAACCCTTTCTGTCCCTCCTAAGCCTCAGACCCCTGGGGTGGGGTGGGGAGTGGTAGGGGGAGGCAGCACCCAGTCCTGCCACAGCTGGTCCTAGAGGAGGGACAGTAACCTCAGCCAACTGAGGTGCATTTACCCCCAGATGGGTCCCCTCTCCCCCAGCCTGCAATCACTGTCCTCACACTAAGTACATAACAGCCTAGGTCAGTGGTTCTCAACCTTGGCTGCACATTAGAATCACCTGGGAATCTTTTTAAAATCCGGATTTCTGGGCTTCATCCTCTGAAAATTCTGTTTCTTTGTTACTAATGTGGCCCCACCCCACAACAAAGAAACAGAATTTCGAAAGAATGAGGTCCAGAAATCAGGATTTTAAAAAGATTCCCAGGTGATTCTAATGTGCAGCCAAAGTTGAGAACCACTGGTCTAGATGGTGTGGAAGCTCATTTATCACAAACACAATAACTGCAGATATTTTGCTGTGAGGTGAGGAAAGATCTTGGGCTCCTAGAGCTGCAAAGGGACCCTAGATGTCACCTGGTGATGAGAATGTTGAGGCCAGAGAGGGAAAAACTCTTTACCTGGATTATGCGATAACCACGAGCACTGTTGGTAGTTAAATTCATTGGGCTGGAGCAATGGGGCTCAGCTGAGCTGCCCAGAGGAAATGCTGGCTGCGGGTGATCAGCCAGGGTGGAGAACAGACCTTGACTTTCGAGCCAGTAAACCCAGGTCTCAAGCCCTGGCTCTCTAATGATTGGTGACCTTGGGCATGTGTATCTGTGTGACCCTCAATTCCCTCTAATATACGTTATCATCAGCAAGGCCTACCACTTACTATCATTGTGAGGATCCCAAGAGAAGGCTCTTGTAGAGTGTTCAGCAAAGGGTGGATTGCTGTAATTCAGTGCTTCCCTTCCCCACCCCTACTCACTTGATCACTGGGGAGACCGGGAGAGGGTGAACCCAGTGTCCTAGGAGGGGCAGGATTTGGCCTGTGGATAATGGAGTGAGGGCTGTGAGAGGTGGGTCAGGAACAGGGAAGATAAACCTCGCCATTCACAAGCAGAGCATACACACACAGAAGCTCATTAGCACGCACACCTACATACATCTGGGCAAGCTACTCACACCTTACAGGGACTCACAAACATGGAGGAATAAGACCTGCCCCCACTGCAGGCTGTGTAGACAGTGCTTCAGAGTCACCAGATCCTGCTTCTGCTCGTGCTGCTCATCACACCATGGGGAGCCTCACACATGGCACAGAGGACATCTTTCATTTTGACACTAAGCACTGACAGTTTGCCAGGTGAGGGGTCAGAGGAGTGCATCTGTGGTTACCCTGGAGGCAGGGGCTTGGAGATGAGAGCTAAGTAACCTGGCTATCGGCAGAAGGGCTGATGGAGCTGGTACTGCATGTTTTAGGATGTGGCCACTTCACACAGGGTGGGCTAGTGAAGACCTAGGAACTTAGTAGCGGTTAGCAGGGAGGAGGTCCAGGGCAGGGAGCTGGCATGACAGAACACAGGCTGGCTCAAAGTGAAAATGTGGGGACACTTGTTAAAAAATTATTTAGAATTTCAAAATGGTGGCAGCAGCCATTAAACCAAGTGTGTGGTCCTTCTAAGTGTGGGGTCCTGTGTGATCTGTGGATGTGACCCCATTTTGGCAGAAGTATGACATCTCCGTTAGAAGGGCATTCCTCCATCTTCCAGGTGGAACTGGATTTTCATGAGAATGAGATTTCTTAATTTTTAAGAAATTGCCCAGAAACAAACACAACGAATGGAAAACAGGATAAAATAAATGGGGAACAGCCCAGAAGGAATAAGCCCGCCAATAGAAGGCCTTCGCCTGTGGCCTGGAGGACACTGCAGACAGGCTTAGGACAAATTGTATCATGACAACTGGGAGCAAGAAGTTGCTCCGATGCTCTCAGATGCTCATTTAGGAAGCTTGCTGGTGGGAAAGATACAACAGGTAGAAACAAAAGGGCAGAGAAGTTTGGAGAATCACTGAGTTGGACATAAGGGGAGACTGTTCTCTGTCTGAGCTGAGGAAAACTCCGGGGTACTTGGAGGTGGCAGAATGGCCTGAAAGACTTCATGAACTATAAAAAAATGCCAGGAAACCCCAAAGCTCATGAGCATGTCATGATACAAAAGGGTGTCCTCACCTCAGTGCACAAACATGTGCCATTTGTACACTGTCATCTGAAGACAATCCCAGCTCCCAAATGATCCCTTTGTCCCCAGATCCCCTTTCCTCAGCCACTTAGATTCAGATATTAATAACCCAACGGAGGACTTTGTGTCTGAATTGTTATATCATTTAATCTCCACACACACCCTGAACAGTCTGTGTTGTGATTCTCCCTTCAGAGCAGGAAAAATGATGCCGAAGTCCTAACGTCATTTCCGAGATTTGGATCCTGTTATTTGGATTCCAATCCAGTGCTCTATTTAAATAATTACTAAGTAATACGGTGAGAAGTAGACAGGTAGCTTTTATTGAAAGGAAGAAATCAAATAACATACTCAGAACATTAGGCAGTGCCATTTATCATGCCACCTTAGGGGATGGAGAGACAGTAGACGGTGACACCCAAACAAACAGGACCTACTACATAATTTTGCTTTATGATGACCTTTTTTCTCGTCATGCACATGCATGCACACAAGCCCCTACCAAACCTAGACAGCTCTCAGACCAGCCCTATTCCTAACCCCTCTCCCCTTCCAGAGGACCTGAACAAGGTGAAACCTCCCACGGTCACTGTGTTTGAACCATCCGAAGCAGAGATCGCCCGGACACAGAAGGCCACGCTTGTGTGCCTGGCCACAGGCTTCTACCCCGACCATGTGGAGCTGAGCTGGTGGGTGAATGGGAAGGAGATCAAGAGTGGGGTCAGCACAGACCCTCAGCCCTACAAGGAGCAGAGCAACCTCAGTGACTCCACCTACTGTCTGAGCAGCCGGCTGAGGGTCTCTGCCACCTTCTGGCACAATCCTCGCAACCACTTCCGCTGCCAAGTCCAGTTCTTTGGGCTAGAGGAAGAAGACAGGAAGAATTGGGAGGACCCCCGCCCCCTACCCATCACCCAGAATGTCAGCGCTGAGGTCTGGGGCAGAGCAGGTGAGTGGAGCCTTGGAGGGTCAGGCAAGTAGTGAGTCAGACCAGAGAGAAAGGGGGATCCAGGTAGAAGGCCACAAACACCAGGTTAGACATTTTTTTAAAAAAAGGAGTGGGGTGGGAAGATGAGAGCACACCATGAAGAAGAACAGGCACCTTGGGCTAGTTCCTCCTCAGATCCCCAGCCAGCACAGCCTTGCAGCTGGGCCCCTTACTACTGGCCTGGGTGGCTCAGCATCTGTGTGGTGTGTCCCCATCCCCTTCAAAGCTGCCACGTGTGTCTCATGAATTTCAAGGATGATGTGTCTATACTGGCACACAGGAAGGCAGTGCTAGACTCCTCTGGTCTGGGCCTGAAGTGTGCTGACCACAAGGCTGACAGTGTTTGATCTGCTCATTCATTCCCCTCTCTCTTCTTTCTTTCAGATTGTGGCTTCACCTCAGGTAAGTGACCCTCTGCTTCTTTCTCTCCTTCTCCCATGGTCTTTGGAACCAGAGGATGGAGGACCCATGACTCTGGAGGTGGGGGTCAGAGATATCTGCTTAAAAGTGCATACCTGCTCTCCTTTCCTACCAACAGTGTCCTATCAGCAAGGGGTCCTGTCTGCCACCATCCTCTATGAGATACTACTGGGGAAGGCCACTGTGTATGCGGTGCTGGTCAGCACCTTGGTGCTGATGGCCATGGTAAGGAAGAGGGTAGGGTAGACAGGCAGGGTGGAGGGAGAGGGTGAAACAATACCCATGGGATAGGAGGGGATCTCAGAGCCTGACCTCAGCCCTTTCACCTCCAGGGAATTATAACTGGACTGCCAGTCTGGGCAGAAAGTATAGGGATCTTTATAGAATGCAGCATTGGAGGATGGGGAGAATCAGACTGCCCTACCCAAAATTGGGGCCAGAGTTGGCCTCCTCTGACTCACTCCTATTGTTCATGGCCCCTGGGACCCTGACAGTGTCCTCTCTTCTGCAGCTCAAGAAAAAGGATTCCTGAGACCAGTTCCAGATGCCCATCCTCAGACATTTTTAATCCAAACCCTAGGTTCACCTTCACATGCTTCCAGTCTGTGTTCCCAATGAGGTATTCTCTCCTCGCCCTCTTATCTCCTACCTGTATGAGTATCTGTCCCTTCTCTCTGCTGCCCTGCAGACTGAGCTCCTCAATACTGAATCTGAGATAAACTAAACCAATAAAAATATTGTGCTGGACTTGGTAGTGTTTCATGAGTGTCTATGGAGTTCTGCCCTTCAAAGACCCACCTTCTGGTTGAGGAAAGCACCACCTCTCAGGCATATGGAGTGACGGATTCTCCTCTCTGACCAGTGCTGCTTCCTCCTGTTCATCCTGGTGGGGGGTGGGCGTTATAATCCATAACCAGGCATTCTGTGCCCCAGTACATAGGGTTAGTCTGAGGGGTAAGGTGCTATGCTCTTGAAAAAGGATGAGCACAGGTAAGGACCTCAGTACAAGACAGAAGACAGGACATACCTGTGGGTTAGAAAGCCCGGTCATTTCTCAATTCCAGATTCAATTTCATTTATTATGCGTTCACTTTTTATCTGTGTCTGTTAACACCTCCATCTTATCTTATTTCTGGACTTCAGCACAAGATTTATTTAGCTCTATTCTGCATGTCTAGGTTAGAATCCTAAGGAAAGCACAGAGTTAAAAATGCTGACACGTGAAACCTAATTTCCTAGAGGCAAGACACATGGGGTCAGGCCTTGGGGGAGGAATAGAGACAGGAAGCAGGGTTCAGTGGGACTGAGGTGCTATAGCCACATAGCCCTTCCAATGGGCAGCTTCACCTGAAGGGATGGAGACCAGGCCACCCCAAATACAGCACAGTGAGTACACCCACTTGGGTGGACGGTTACCTTACTCAGTAAACTCTACATGAAGGTTGCATTTACTGCACTAGAGGAGGGGGGAGCAATTAGAGAAAAGAAGGCAGAGATGGAGGGAGAGAGTTCATGTGTAAGTTATTTGAGGCCAAATGTCAGTGGTAAGAAGGCAGTCTGAAAGCTAAGAAAGGGTGGTGAAGATGAAGTCCCTATTGATGCCCTGCCTGACTTCAGACTGGGGGCTGGGTACTGGCCCACGTGTTGTCCCAGTTTCCCTCACAACAACCCTAGAAGCAGGTATTAGTCTCCCCACTTCACAGGTAAGGAAACCACAGTCCAGAAATCAACTGACTGGTAAGCTGGGAAACACTGGCACGTTCTGCTAAAGATTCAGGAAACATTTCCAAGTCAACACTAGGATGGTGTGATAGTCACACGGTGACACTGGAGAAGCTGCTCCCAAACTCTGATGCAGGATCCACAGCAAGAGCATGAAGAGACCTTGAGTCCTGCATGTATGTGTTTTCCAGTGCTGCTGTAACAAAGAACCACAACCTTGATGATTTAAAACAAAATTTATTCTCTCATAGCCCTGGAGCCATAAATCCACAATCAAGGTGTCAGTAGGGCAGCACTCCCTTCAAAAATTCTAGGGGAGCCCAGCCAGTGGCCAATGTTGCTCAGTGGTTGAGCATCGACCTATGAACCAGGAGGTCATAGTTCAATTCCTGGTCAGGGCACATGCCCAGGTTGTAGGCTCAATCCCCAGTGTGGGGCATGCAGGAGGCAGCCAATCAATGGTTCTCTCTCATCATTGATGTTTCAACTCTCTCTCCATCTCCCTTTCTCACTGACATCAAATATAAAAAGTTCTAGGGGAGAATTGTTTCTTGCTTCTTCCCATTCCTAGTATTGTGGCAGCCTCATTTCAACCTTCTGTCTACCTTCATCACTTTCTTCCCTATGTCTCTGTGTCCCTCTCCTTTTTCTTACTAAGGCTGAAGTTATTGGATTTAGGACACACCCTAACTTCAGAAGAATTTCATCCTGAGATCCTTAACATTTATATCTGCAAAAACCTTATTTCCAAATTAGGTTCCATTGGGTTGGCACAAATTAAGGGTAGACACTATTCACCCCACCGCACTGAGTGTCTAGGAACTGGAGATGAGAGGGTTATCTGAATCATCTCACATAGGTCAGAAAAGGATGTGGCCCAGGGCAGGGCTGGCCTAGAAAAATCACCACATGACTATAAGTTCCCATCAGTCACAATAATCTCTAGGTTGCTCTAATTTCAGTACAGTTTTGTTCTTATTGTTGTTGCTTATTTGTTTTTCTAATGGCTAAAAAAAGTCCCAATACAAAAGAGACAGAGTTTAGGTCCTAGACCAGCACCCACAAAAGCAGCACCTTCCATTCTGGTCAGGGCACAGGGTGGGATGGGGAGATGAGCTGCTGAAGGGACAGTCAATGCCTCAGAGAGAATAGGGCATTGCGTGGGCCAGAGGGAATGGACTGGGACATGGGTGTTGAGAGATGAGGTATTGAGGGATGAGGGTGATGGGGATGGGGTATTGTGGGACTGTATGTTGGGGCATAGAGGTGTTGGGGGATGAGGTGTAGGGGGAATAGGGTATTGGGAACAGATTGTTGGGGGACAAGGACTTGTTCCAGCAGAGCTGTGAGGAGGGAGCTGAGCAAAAGTAGGGCAAACATCAAGGTGGAGGTAGGTTACCCTCACAGAAGAGAAATGGGGTCTGTGGGCTTGGTGATTGTCATCTTGGGGGTGCTAAAAGCAGAGGCATCAGCAGGTGGGAGGATGTGGGAGAAGTTGCTGGTTAGCATCTGTGGCTTGTCAAGGTGAGGAAGAAAGGAATGGCCTCTGAAGGATGAATGACTCAATGCCAGAGACACAATAGAGGTGGAGAAAGTTACAAACTTCATCTGGTTCCCACCCAACATGCCACTTGACCCAAGGAAGGCTCCTTTCTTCAAATCTTCACAGCCATGGAGAATTAGTACTTGAGACCTCTCTTGAAGCTCATGTGTACAGCAAGGATGTCTCTCAGACAGCACAGCCTCCAACATTCCACACCCAGGCACTGGGAAGTTATTTTATTCTGCATCTGCCTCTTTCTCTAGAATCTAAGTGGGTCCTTCTGGACCAATTCTGGGCATGCCATCCATTCTTCCTCAGGTGAAACTGAGCGCAGATAGGTTAGATATAGGGCAGTCATCTCATTTATTGCACAAATGGGGATACTATTGAGAGGAAAATGGGAAGCTGGGATAAGAGGGGTAAATCAGGACTGTCCTCATAAGTGCCCAGGACACATGGACACTCCAGTAAAAGGGACCCCCAGGGGTTTCTGGGCCCAAAGGTATTCCTGGAAGAAAGACATTAAAGCAATTCCTCATCTACTTGGGCCTATCAAGCTGTTCCAACCTCAGGCTAATCTAAGCTTCATCCCATTAAGAAAATCTGTGGGCAGAATGTAGTCTAGGCACAAACTTCACAAGTGACATCCAGTTCAGGAGTAGAGCTTGATTATTGATTGAAGAGACTTGAAGTCAAGCATCTCTAGAAGTATGCCCAGGGTCCCCCAAGTTATCACCATTCCATGGGGCACAACTGGACTCACCATGGTAGCACCCCAGGAGAGGAACCTCAACCCTGCAGACTTTAGAAATTTATTCAGAAATTAGGAGACAGGAGGAATTCAGACAGGAGGTCATGTAATAATGGAAACATCCTGGTGTGTGTGTGTGTGGCGGGGGAGGGAGGGGCGGGGATTGAGATTCCTATGGGGAGAGGCTAGTCAAGTCACTGTCACTTGTCCAAAAGAAGAATTTTCCTGTCAGCATCAGTATCCACCAGAGACCTGCAACTCTTCCTACTGCACAGCTCATGGCCAGGATGCATAAGCTTGGGCAGTGGTAATGGGGTTAGAAGAGGTTGGGCCCATCCAGAGACAAAGACTTTTTCTCTCCTAAGTAAGTGATTAAGGAAGAGTGGGTAAGAGAAAGAAAAAAAGGATTTTGATGATTATATAAAAAAGAAGTGGTACATATATACAATGGAATATGACTCAACCATAAAAAAGAATGAAATCTTACCATTTGTGACAACATGGCAACATGGATGGATGTAGAGGGTATTCTGCTAAGAAAAATTTGTCAGACAGAGAAAGACAAATGCTATAGAATTTCACTTATATGTGGAATCAAAAACAACAACAACCCACACAAAACAAATTAACAAACAAAATAGAAACAAACTCACAGATACAGAGAGCAAATTGATGATCTCCAGATGGGAGGAGCATTGGAGGTGTGGGTAAAAAAAGAAATGTTGAAAGGGATTAAGAAGTACAAATCACCAGTTATAAAAATAGTCAAGGGGATGTAAAGTACAGCATAAGGAATATAGTCAATAATACTGTAATATCTGTGTATGGTGTCAGATGGGTATGAGACTTCTCGCAGTGATCACTTCATAAGTTATATAAATGTATAATCACTGTAAACTAATATAATATTTGTATGTCAATTATAATTGAAAAATTTAGAAAAAAGAAGAAGGATTCTGGAACAATAGAGGTTCGGGTAAGAGTAAGGGATCCTGATAGATACTAATCTCTCCATTTCCTGCCCTGAGCCATTTCCCCATCTTCCTCCTCCCATGTGCCCCAGAGAATGGCAGCCCAGTGACCTCAGCCCAAGCAGTCTATGTAACACACAGCTTTGAATGTCCCATATAGGAGAAACTTCATGAGGTCTTTTTTCTTAGGGATGGATGTGGGAATGGAGAATTGGTACTTGAGACCTCCCTTAAAGCTATATGTGTACAACAAAAACATGCTCATACCTAGAGGTATTACATTTACAGCTGTTAAGAGATGTTGATGGACATCTCTGGAATGGCTAAGAACCCCATGTCAGTTTTAGCATTGCCACTGACCCATGGATGAATCAGTCATCTGCAGCCCCACTGACCTCTGCTTAAACTTTCATCACCAAGTTCCCTTTTACCATGTTCATGTGGAAATCACCCTATGCCATATAGACTGACAGTATAGAAGGCCACCAAGCCTGGGCAATTTTAATTACAATTAATTCTCATTATTTGTGGCAAACTCCCATCCTTCAAAAAGGTAATTTCTGGGCCCTGACACCCCACAATGTGAGACATCATCCAGCCCATCTGGGCCGGGAGCACAAAGCACTTCCTGCCTTAATGTAGGGTCAGACATCCTCCCCTCCCATCTGGAGGACTTTCTTCTCTTGCACTGTGTTTATGGACCTGAAGTCCCTGGGTTCTTAACATGCCCTTCCCCTCTGCCTCTCCTTATTTTGTAATG